GTCTAGCGAGGCACCACTGTACTTTCAAAGAGGGTTATTTCAAAAATCTACCTGCTAAAGATGATTATAGACTTTTGCTTACCAGCCATTTAACTCAAATATGCCCGGATGAAACAAACCGAGGGACCTTTTGACTTTTCCTGCTAACCCCAAACCAGTCCATCCCGCAGCTGAAGGTATCCTTAAAAAAACAGGTCAGGCTCTGGAATCTGGTAATGGCATTACAAAACCACGTTGGCTTTCATCATTTAAACATTAATCCCATGAAGTGGCTACCCAAGAACACACAGAGACGAAAGGAACAGTAAACACATTTGGAAATGTCAGGATTTTTTATTAACTTCACTTATCTGATCTTCTGCAAAGCAGAGAGAGCTTTATCTGCCCACGATGGCCAGACCTCTGCAGCTTCGCTCCAAAAGGAGAACTCCCATCTCCGCTCTAATCACTGTGAACGTTCGTTAATTTCTCAAGGCAGCAATACAACTTTACTATTAAAACCTGATTTAAAGCAGGCCAATGTATTGGGGTGGGTGGGGTCGGACGTAGGAACAGGGGAAGGGGGGGGCACAGGGAAAGTCCGGGAGAGGTGACAAGCACAGTTGGTACTAAAGATTTAAGGCTGCTGTACCATTTCGCAGTTCTATTTTACCAACGTTTGGGTTTTATTTAAGGACAAAAGCTATTCTACTCCTTCATTAGGAACATGAACTGCTGGCATCATATAATTACCTTTGTTAGGCTAAAAAAAAACTTTCAAATCCCACATGAAAATACTGACTAGTAGAAGGTAGGCAAAACATTGGGGGGGGCAGGACGTTTCCATTTGCAGTCACCGATGGGCAGAGACTAACACATTTTTAATAAAAGGCAGCACGTTTCCTCCGATCATTTTCTTGATGAGCTGCTCAGCCAGGTCTTCCGTCCACTGCTAATGTGGGGCAATCTACACAGAAGTGAGTGGTTTTTACTGGTTTAGTTTTTAACCTTCCGGTCACTCCTCAATGGACTTTATGTACTTCTCATATGTATCTTCACTCATGAGTTCGTCAAGTTCTGAAGGGTTTTCCACCGTCATTTTGATCAGCCAACCTGTGAAGAAGAAGAAAAGCACCTTTTAAAGAAAAGCTAGGTCCACCAAGGGACGTGGTGGCGCAAGGGACGTGGTGGCGCTGCGGGCTAAACCGCAGAAGCCTGTGCTGCAGGGTCAGAAGACCAAACAGTCATAAGATCGAATCCACGCGACAGAGTGAGCTCCTGTCGCTTGTCCCAGCTCCCGCCAACCTAGCGGTTCGAAAGCATACAAATGCAAGTAGATAAATAGGGACCACCTCGGTGGGAAGGTAACAGCGTTCCATGTCTAAGTCGCACTGGCCATGTGACCATGGAAGATTGTCATTGGACAAAAACGCTGGCTCTGTGGCTTGGAAATGGGGATGAGCACCGCCCCCTAGAGTCGGACACGACTGGACAAAAATTGTCAAGGGGAACCTTTACCTTTACCTAGGTCCACCAAATGCCGCCTCTTGACTCTAGTAGCTTTCTGTTTACGCGAACAGGGGAAAAGCCCCACAAAAGATGGATAATGTCTCACTGGCCAACACCGAGGAAGGAGGCGATTCCGGTTTTGAAAAAGGAGACAGTGCCTGAAGAAGCTGAGATTGGATCTCCAAGATCAGCCCCATTCCCATCTGTACGCAGCCATGCCTTGAAATATCACAGCATGACTCTGGAAGATGTGACAGAAAAACATGGATCCGCTCCACTGCTAAAACAAGGTAAAGGGCACCAAAGCCTCCCCTCATCGCTCCGGGGCTTTAATGCCGGCCAAAGTGGAAGCGGTCCCTTGCCTCCAAGAAATGAGGCTGCAAACCGTTCGGTTCTTTCAGCAGCCACCTGCCTCCACGCTAGCATTTAGAGGTTTCACCGCTCCGAGAACAATGTCCGTATTGCAGGCCTTCCAGGGCGGCCAGCATCGCAATGCTCGGATCAGTTCTCAGAAAGAGTTTCGAGAAGCAAAATGTCATTTTCTTACCATCTTGGTAACAGGATTTGTTGACGAGTCCTGGATTATCTGCCAGGGCCGTATTAATTTCCGTTACTTCTCCTGTGATTGGGGAGTAGAGTTCGCTAGCTGCCTTCACACTTTCCAAAGCACCAAACTCATCTGGAGGACGGAATGGGAGAGAAGGAAGCATTTGAATGGCAATGTTAAAGAATGAATCCCTCCCTCCCTCTACATCCATCCATCCATCCATCCATCCATCCATCCATCCATCCATCTCTCTCTGTATCCATCCATCCATCCATCCATCCATCCATCCATCCATCCATCCATCCATCTCTCTCTCCATCCATCCATCCATCCATCCATCCATCCATCCATCCATCCATCCATCCATCCCTCTCTGCATCCATCCGTCCGTCCGTCCGTCCGTCCGTCCGTCCGTCCGTCCATCCATCCATCCATCATCCTTTATACACCACCGCATTACTACAAAGCACTATTCTGGGTGGTTAACATGCTAAAATCAGTCAACAAACCATATAATAAAACAACAAAGACAAATTTTCAAGTGCAAATGCCTAGACAGAACAGCGCTGTATAATCCAATAAATAAATGGCTGAGCAATGGTAGGGGAAAAAAATCACATTTATTTATTTAAAATATTTTTATCCTGCCTTTCTTCTTAAAGAGAACCCATCTTACATCATTAAAAAGACATTATGTCGAAGCTAAAAACAATAGGTATACAAATATTTTTACGAGCCCCACGTAGACAACCTTGCAGTCATCAATCCTGTAGAGCCCAAGAGAGCCCCACATAGACAACGTTGCAGTCATCAATCCTGTAGAGCCCAAGAGCACCAAGAACCGCCTTTATCCCCCTCTGTAAGAATTCAGAGAGACTTTAGGGGGTTCCCATGTTGGGTTAGACTAATGCACAGCTCTTCCCCGCCTTGTGTCCTTCTAGTGGTTGGGAAACCCACGCTAGCTCATCCAGAGTTCAGTTGAGGCCCCGTTTCAGTTCTGAGCAGAACACATTCCTTCTCTCTCCCGCTAAACGACAGCAAAGGAAAGAACACGCTAGAGCCTAAGAGGCACAAAACCCATGCTCCAGATTAGAGCCAACTCTGACATCCGTTTCTCGAACAGCAGCCCTCCTGCCACATGACAAGCTTTCAAGAGTGACGACGACGGGGCTTTCGAGAGCTGTTTGTGCTGCAACTTGGCACAGATCCCCGAGGGGGGTTGGGGGTGGAGGACAGCTTTGCTTTTCAGAACTAGCAGCCTATCTGGCATGCCCAAGCTCTTGAAAAACACCTCCAGGAGCTTTCTCGACTCCAGTCCAAGAACTGCGTGACTGTTTAATTTACAATTCCTCTGGGTTTTTTGGTTTTTTTGGCAATGTTGTAGGATATTAACAGCGAAGAATTAAAAGGGGGAAGGGAGAAAAGGCTTACCCTGTTTGTTCAACTTTGTTCCAACGTCTGGAAGACTACAATAAACAACATCTCCTAACGCTTCCTGTGAAAGGAAAGTTCAGGCATCAGCAACAGCGGCTTGGAAAAAACCATCAAAAGGTTAAGAACTGAAGCAAGGGGCCCGATGCACCACATGGGAGCTCCCCCTCCCCATCGGTGGAATGCAAACAGATGGGCAGGACTCCTTTTGCAATTCCAAATCTTCACTTCCAACACCAAAGATTGCAGGTTTTCTCTTCTCACACCCGTCTTTCCATAAACCTTTTTTTTCTGCTCGACAGCTAACCAGTTCATAAACCAGCCTTAGCTAGGCTTCACTTCTCATGCACTGCAAGGTCAAGCTGCAAAGCAATGAAAAGAATGAAAAGCAGCCGGGAAATCTCCGCCACCTCAGCTTAGCAGTATCTTCCATGCAAACTCCAGATCACCACGTCATCACCTCTGCCTAGACAACCTGCTGCTGGGGCTACAACCTCCCCCCTTGGTCTCTCTCTGTACGTCTGCATTGCCCTAGAACAACGCATCTCCTCTACATAGTTTCTCTGTCCCACCCACTTCCCCTCCTGCAACAAATTGTCTCAGAGAAATATGCCTCGGCAACTGGACCTTCAAACAGAGGCCACTTTCAGTGCCTGTTCACAAAACAAAGCACGCTAAATGCAAGATAAGTAGGTGAGGAAAACAACGTGCTCTGACAAACAGATCCTTTCCATCACTTGAGGGGAGCACTTAGAGCAGTGGTTCCCAACTTTGGGCAACCCAAGTGTTCTTGGACTGCAGCTCCCAAGAAGCCTTCACCACCACCTGGGATTTTGGGGAGCTGCAGTCTCAGAACATCTGGGTTACGCATGGTTGGGGTCCACCACCTTAATCAAAAGACAGCACCCCAGGCATTGCATAGGACTGCTCCTGTAAGTTGCTATTGGCTGCATTTTGCTCAAAACACTAAGCCAGAATTTGTCAGAATACTGATTTGCTGTTGTAATTCTGATTTTCCTCCTGCCGACCCACCCTGTAACTCCTTCACACCCAAACGCGATTTCTGAACAGTTGAAGTAACTTTCCGATCAGTTCCAATGTTGAAAAACTGGGTGTGTGTGCAGGCGTTTAGCGGGGTGAAAAACGGAGCAGGCACGGCCCCTGTACAAACCATAGTTGCCTGTCATCCTTGATTCCCTCACTTCTTCTTATGGGAGGAGTCAAAGTGACCACAACTGAACATGTACAATCATTCTTGCATGTGAACGATGAATTGAGGCCCTAAAATAGAGGGTTGAAAAACTGAGCAGGCACGGCCCCTGAACAAACCATAGTTGCCCGTCATCCTTGATTCCCTCACTTCCTCTTATGGGAGGAGTCAAAGTGGCCACAACTGAACATGTACAATCATTCTCGCATGTGAACGATGAATTGAGGCCCTAAAACAGAGGTTCCCAACCTTCGGTAACCCCAGTGTTCTTGGACTGCAACTCCCAGAAGCCTTCACCACTAGCGATGTTGGCTGGAGTTCCTGGGAGTTGCAGTTCAGGAACATCAGGGGACCCCAGTTTGAGAACCACTCAAATGCAGCGACAGACAGAAAAGGACAATGGAGTTGGGTAGGACCGACCCAACTGAAGGTATGTTCTCAATACAGTCGTGCCCCGCTTTACGATTGCCCCACATTACGACGAAACAGCATTACGATGACGTTTTTGTGATCACTTTTGCGATCGCAAAACGATGGTCTGAATAGGGTTTTTTCGTTTTACGATGATCGGTTCCCTGCTTCGGGAACCGATTCTTCGCAAAACGATTTTCCAACAGCTGATCGGCGATTTCAAAATGGCTCCCCACTGTTTTCTGGGACGGATTCCTCGCAAGACAGCCACCGAAAATGGCCGCCCTATGGAGGATCTTCGCTGGACGGTGAGTTTCCAGCCCATTGGAATGCATTGAAGGGGTTTCAGTGCGTTTCAATGGGCTTTTTATTTTCGCATTACGACGTTTTCGTTCTACTGTGATTTCGCTGGAACGAATTAACGTCGTAATGTGAGGCACCATTGTCGTAATGTGAGGCAACATTGTATTACATTTCTGACAGAAGCACACACTCTTCTGCCAACTGAATGCAGGCCAAGTGGGAACTGCGTTCCCAATTCCATTTAGAAAATTGCACATTTTAATCCCCATGGAGAGACCCAAGCTTCCACTGCTCTCTGGTCCAACAAGGCAGGGATAGATAACCGGGAACAGATTTGTTCCCATTTCATGATCTTCCAAACCCTCATCAGATTGTTCGCTGGCTGCCATTTGGTTTGCAAATTTGCATTTTCATCAAGTATCATTCAGTTGCACAAAGCAGAAAGCAGGCACCTGTGAATTTTACAACTTGGGTTACAAGCAATTTTCAGCCTGATTTCCAAGGTTGCATCCACAACGCAAAGTAATAAGAACAGTGAGTGGCTGGACCCGATGGAAGCCAAACTGGGGGTTGGGAGGAGAGAGGAGGGCTCAACCGGCCAAGAGCATTCCCCAGGATGTTATAGGTTCCAAAGTCCACAGTTTGGTTCTGTGTTCAAAATACACAATTAGAATAATTGTATTAGAGCAATAAAGGTAGCAAAGAGCAAGGTCCACAAGAGCATATATTGCAAGATAAAGGCTTGGGATGGGGGAGGGGCACGGTGGTATCAATACCTGCGCGAAGTTGCTGATTCCTACAGTTCCAACACAGTTTTCAACCGATACCCATTCATGCTTGTCTGTGAATCGGCGCGCTGAAAACAAAGCAAAAGGAGATTTCAATACATCTGGCTTTTCTAAACCCATTTTTCCCCCCATAACGGTTCCATCTCAAAACATTTTAAAATTTGGCATCCGCTTCGGAAAAAAACATTCCAAGTTCCCAGTCCTCAAATAGCACTTAGAATACAAACCTGAACAGCCTGTTTTCTCTGCTGAGTTTATGTTGCAAAGGTTTCGTGTTCAAATCCAAGCCACTCTTCAACTGACATCGGATGCATGTTTTATTCCCACCACCCTGTATCTTTTTTTTTTAAATTATATCCTTCTTCAGACACTGTAGTGTAATCCATTGAAGATATAATCGTAGATACCCTTCCGTATAAGTGAACCTCTTGAAATGACAAAAGCTTAAGATTGCAAGACGATGCCGCAGCACTACAGAACCCGCCATTCTCATGGTAAGGCTGGACTCCAACATCTATCAGCTTTCGACAGCATGACAATGGGAAGAGATCAAGGGTGCTGTGTAGCCTGTTAACATCCGGGCACCCCAAGCTTTGCATGCCTGCAAGAACACCTGCCTCAAAGCCCTGGGGCACCAAGTAGACCCTGGCTTAAAGGCTCGTTGCAAGAGAGAGAACAAGAAGAGTATCTGGATAAGTTGCCCAAACTATAGTGGTACCTCGCTAAATGATGACCCCGCTAAACGACAAATCTGCATGATGACTTTTTGCGACAGCTGTAGCGATTCGCAAAACAGTCATTCCAATAGGAGATTTTCGCAGGACATCGATTAGGTCCGTGCTTTGCGAACCGTTTGTTCACAAGATGACAATTTTTTCAGCTTTGCAAAATGGCTGCCCTGTGTTTTCCGGACACATGCTTTTCAAGACAGCCATTTTTACAGCTGATCGGCGCTCGCAAAATGGCTTCCCTATGGGCGATCTTATGGCAAAATGGCTTCCCTATGGACGACAAGGTATTTTCCCTATTGGGTTTTAACCCGGGTTTCAATGCATTCCAATGGGGAAAGGGTTTTCGCATGACGACGATTTCGCTAAACAGCTATTTTCACGGGACGGATTATCGTTGTCATGTGGGGCACCGCTGTACTCAAAAGCAGCACAAGATTATGGAAACTGCTCAGGATGAGGATGATGCCCATTCCACAGACGCATTCTTGACCAGGTTTCAATGCATTCCAAGGGGGAAAGGGTTTTCGCATGACGACAATTTCGCTAAACAGCTATTTTCACGGGACGGATTATCGTTGTCATGTGGGGCACCGCTGTACTCAAAAGCAGCACAAGATTATGGAAACTGCTCAGGATGAGGATGATGCCCATTCCACAGACGCATTCTTGACACCGTTGTCATGCGGGGCACCATTGTATTCAAAAGCAGCTCAAGATTATGGAAACTGCTTATAATGAGGAGGATGCCCATTCCACAGACGCATTCTTGACAAGCTTATGGTGGAGGCAGGGAGGTAGGCTTTCGTTTAACATTGCATTCTGCAGCCTCTCCTCAACCTGGTCTTCTCTGTGGATTATATTTCCCATGACTAGGCCAGCGTCATGAGCTGGGGATGCGGAAATTTGCATCCCAGCTCATTTCACGGGTGCCAGCTTGACGACGGAAGTCCTGAAATGTTTGATTATCTGAGACCTATTACTAAAGAGGCAAACATTTTACAAAATATTACTCAAAGCTTTATACTAATAAGCGATTCTAACTTTCAATGACAAAAAAAGAAATCACACCTGAAAGTCATACTCATCGCGTACATTTTTCTCAACGCACAAGTAACTCTCCTGAATAACGAACCACCCGATTTCCCCCCTTTTTTTTGCAAAAAAAATTAATAGATGCACAATATCATTTATATTCAAAGTTTCTCACTTCCTAAGACTCAACAGAACATGGCTAATAAAAATTGTTTGTGCTGCCTCTGTATTTCTGGCCATTACGGCATAGTCGTTAAATTTGACGTCCTGCTCAGTTATTGTCCAGAATGAAACATGATTTTTTTTCTCCTGCAATATATTTTTAGAAAAACAGAATTCTAACAATCACCTGCAGCAGAAGAATAGATTTCCTTGTCTTTCAAGGGACGCACATGCGCTGTGAAGGTACAGAATTTAAACTCCCTAACGCAAGACATGTCACCATGCATAGGTTGTTTAAAAGAAAAAGTTATGAATTATGAAAAAGCGGTATCCTGGGGTTTTAAAGACTGAGTGCACAGAGGGAAAGCTTAGCTACTTAGCTGAGGCCTACTTTTTATCTGGACACTCTCCACCTTTGCGCGTGACGCCTGGAAAGAAGTATAGACAAAATAAAAAAGGAGTCCTCTGATGGAAAAATAAATAAATTCCACAGTATTGCTGCAGGACAGCCCTACCAGGGTGTGTTTGTCATTTTAACTGTTTTATTTTAAAAACAGTTAAAATGAAACATTGAACAGAGGGTATGTATATTAAATTTTGTAAACATTTTTTAAGGCAGAATTTTTCATTGTAGCAGTTTCTGCGGAAGTAGCCACGTCAGTTTCAGCAACAATAGAAACAAAGGCGCTGTCGTATTTTCAGGACTAGCTAATTGATTTCGATGAGTGTGAGTTTCCAGCGACTGCAACCCACTTCTGATGTCTTTGTTGATGTCTGAGAAAGGGGATCATAACTTATGAAAGCTCACACTGAAGAGTGCCATAATACTTTCACGATTGTTTTTGTTGCTAACTGGCAAAGAGTATTTATGGAAGCCATTTTTACCATCACAGAAAAGAAATAAACTGGGGGAAAAAGCATCCTAATTCAAGAGAAGGTTGAAAACTTTGAGGTTAGAATCTGATAGAAATTCTGGGTGAAATTCTTTACATCCTTCCTTTGAGGCATGTAAAGTGTGCTACGGGAATTGACACTGTCACTGAATGCAAATTAAGTTACTAGTACAATTTATATCTCATTTTTCCTGCAATAAGCTCGAGGCTGCATGCATGATTTTCCTCTGTGAGTTAGGTCAGATTCGGGGAAGGTTATTAGCCAAAGATCCATTTCAGGGCTCACTATGAATGAGACGTACGTAAGTAGAATTGTGTTTTTTGAACCACTACTTCCAGAATCCTGTGCTTCTAAGGAATTCTGGGCATTGTAGTCCAAAAGACCTAGATCGGCCCACCTTGAGTGTGAGTAAAACCCTGGATTGCCCACTGGAAAAAACTTTAAAAAAAAAAAAAAGAGAGAGAAATCCATGAATCTACCAGCCAGTTGTTTTCATAAAAAGCTTATACCAGACCATTTAAAACTTTCTAAATGCAACTTTCAATCTGGAAAATCTCTCCTGGATTGGGTTGAAATCCTGACCTTTACCTGGGGGGGGGTGTTAATGTTTATTTAGCTACTCATACAGAGATGGGGAAGTGGTGGCGCTGTGGGTTAAACTGCAGAAGCCTCTGTGCTGCGAGGTCAGAAGACCAGCCGTCGTGAGATCGCATCCACGCAACGGAGTGAGCTCCCGTCGCTTGTCCCAGCTCCTGCCAGCATAGCAGTTTGAAAGCATGTAAAAAAAATGCAAGTAAATGAATAGGTACCACTATGGTGGGAAGGGTCTAGTCGCGCTGGCCACGTGACCACAGAAACTGTCTTCAGACAAATGCTGGCTCTACGGCTTGGAGACAGGGATGAGCACCGCGCCCTAGAGTCGGACACGACTGGACTAAATGTCAAAAGGAACCTTTACTTTTTCCAGAGATAAAAGTCCAATGAAAAAACACCTTCCAAGAATGACCTTTGAGTCCATTTACGTTTATTGCGTGTGCCGTTAAAAAGTTTGCAACTGGAATGCAAGCGGCCGCTTGCATCCAGGAGCAGTTCATGGCAGATCTGCAATAACCCTACAGATAAATTACTGGGGAGGGGAGAAGCCCCCCCAGACACCATTCCTGTGTGGAGGGACAATGCCACTGACCTCTTCTGTCCCCAAATGTCCAGGCTAAGCTAGGCACAGCATGTTTACTCAGAAAACAATCCCACATTTCCATGGCAGGAGTGGGCAGAAAGTCAAGCTGGCCCTATTTACTGTTAACAATTCCTTTGTTCTGTTTTTTGTTTGTTTGTTTCCTTTAGTTGTTGTTTGGCTGTTCAATGTATCTTTATTACCTATCTTCTGAAAAGGTGAAATCTGCAAAAAGAAAAAAGGGAAGGAAGCCCAACTGTATTGCCCCTATAGCGGGATAATTCGCAAAGATTTTTGTCTGCCCCCCTTGTCTGATGTCGCACGTTCGAGGGCGCTTCCTCCCGAGTAAATGCCTTTAGGACTCTCCCCGCTGTGGTGCTCGGAAGCCCTCCAGAGTTGGGAGCAAGTCGCTTGCAAGGCCAGGCCATTTACTCCAGAGTAGACACGCGCGCACAGACACACACACACTTCCCGGGCTGTGGTGCAAGGATGGAGGGGATGCCTGCCTGCTTGGAGGTAAATAAAGAGGCTTATGGTGTAAGGGATGCCCGCCTAGAGGTGCAAACGCGCAGGCTTGCAAAGGGGGGGAGGGGTCTCCTTCCGAGAAAAAAAAAAACATCTGGGGGAGAAGAAACCGCCTCGGATCTGGGAGGAGGCTTGCTCCCGAGTAAACCCGGCGCGCCTCGCTTTGGAAGCGCCTCGGCTCCTGCTTGCAAAGGACGAGCCCCTCCAGGACCCGCCGAGAAATCCCGGGCTGGTGCAAGAAGAAAGTCCCGGTGCATTGGGGGGGGCGGGCCCGATCCACCATTACCCTCCCTCCCTCCTGCCCTTCCCGAGGCTCACCGGCGTGCAGCAACGCGGGGCTGGCGCTGAGCCCTCTGGCCTGGCCGGGAAGCTCCGTCCGAGCGAGTCCGCCGGAGGCGGCCGGGAAGGCGAGGCGGAAGCCGGCCGGGGCACTCAGCCCGAACCCCCGCCGCCGGAGCAGCCCTCGGCAGCAAGCCGTCACCGCCGCGGCCAT